AAAGAGGCCAAACTGTGAAAATTTCCCCAAAGTGAAACCCATGCAAAACAGGCCGAAGATTCAGAGCACTGGGCCACCGCGGTTCCACCGCGACCGCGGCAGAACCGCGGTGGAGAGCAGCTGCAGACATCAGGGATTCCGCGAGGGTGTTTGGCCGCGGTTCTACCGCGACCGCGGCAGAACCGCGGCAGGCGCGAAAACTTCTGGGGTCAAAGTGTCAAATACGGGATTTTTAGACCTAAACCCTATTTAAAACATTAGACTTCGCCCAAGAGAGGCATGTATGGATTTTTAAGGTTTCTTAGCAAGGAAAACCATTGTGAGAGAATACTCTAAACATCTTTCTTCTTTTCTTTTGATTTTTATGATGAATTCAATCTTAGTCTATTTTCCCATAGCCATGAGTAGCTAAATTCCTTGTCTAAGGTTTTGATGGAACCTATTGGGTGATGAACTTCTTGTTTATGTGAATACAAATTGCTAGTTTAATCTCTATTTGTTCAACTTCGTGTTCGTTGTAGTTAATTGACAGGATCCTCAATTAGTTGTGCCTATTTAGTGTGCATAACTTGGAAAAGAGTGCATATTTAGGGTATTGTTGAACAACACCACTCCTAGATCATTAGAGGAATCTATAATTGCGGGTTTAAAGGCGGGATTAGGGATAACGAAGCCTTGGGTGTAATCTAAAGTGAATCGTGCTAAATAAAGTAAGCTAGTGTATCTCGGGAGAGTGCAATAGTAAATTACTGTGATTACTCGGGAGAGATTTGCGGTAAGATTAACGTTCATGATTGATAGAGAGGTGTTGGTCAATTTGTATGAGCATAAACAGAAGGGATTCCATCAATAGGGGAAATCATTGCCTTAGCTTTTCCTCATAATTGTTTACAACCTCATTAGTTTAGTTTACAGCTATTTAGTTACTTGCAAGCTAGTCGTTAAAGAACACTCAACTGAGATTTGAATATTTGGGAAGCTGGTTCTGAAGAATTAGTGGGTCTGAAGATAGTGGTTGATAGGTTAACTCTCTGTGGATTCGACCCTGGGCGTAATACTCGGTTATATTTGCAACGTCCGCAGAGTCCTTTTTCTAAGGCATAGTTGGGCGTGATCAAAACTCAAAGTTAAAAGTACTGTATGGAGCTCTTTCATGCATTTTTATAGCTAACGGGCGATGATTAATTCATCTATATACAGTTGACAGTATATAGATGCATCTATGGTTCGTGTCGTTCGATCCTCGGCAGTACACACAGTATGATGAGATCGGGTCGTACGCCTCGATATTTTTATAAAATACTCTTGTGAAAATCATGCGTAATATTTGACAAGAATCCCGTGTATCTGTGACTTTTCCTGATTGAATTATGACGCCATATCTAGCAAGGTCCATTATATATTTACTCCGGTCATGGAGGTAACTGCTAATTATGAGCTTGAGTTTATTGTTGAGAGGAGGATTGTACTACCTATTTATACTTGTTTATTTCGTTTATTTCCTCCGCCTCACATCTGTTTACTTCCTAATGCATCTGATTTATTGGACCACTAGTAAGTGTCGATGTCGACCCCTCGTCACTACTTCTCCGGGGTTAGGCTAGATACTTAATGGGTACGCGTTGATTTACGTACTCATACTACACTTCTGCACTTATTGTGCAGGTTTACATTTTTGGCGGTCTTTTGGGCGCAGAGGCGCAGCTATTGCGGGCGCTTTGTAGTGAGCTGCATTCTATATTACGATCCGCAACATACAGAGTCTCCGCCGGCATTATTTAAATTCTCCTGTCTAACGTGTATTCCAGACAGATGTTGTATTTTATTATATTTCCTAGTTGATACTCAAGCACTTGTGACACCGGGTTTTGGGGGTTCCTACTAGATGTTTAGTACAGTAGTTCACGTAATTGTTATTATTTCACCCTGTAAATTTTATTTCATACTATTTAATAATGGGAAGTGTGATTTCAAAGTAATAAAAATGAGTAATTAAGATAATAAATCACCGTTGGCTTGCCTGGCGGCGGTGTTAGGCGCCATCACGGCCTATAGTGGATTTTGGATCGTGACAAAAACGGTCAACAACAATATCATTATTTGAAGAAAATTTACTTCCCAAATAAAAAAAATTGAAGGAAAAGAAAAAGGAGAAAAACAATTTGGAAATTGGAAAAAGTGTAACCTTTGTTAAAAGTGTTGCTGAAGACATACTGAGACTGAAGTCTCGAGGATATGTGATTTTCGATATTTAGGGAATGGACCAAAAAATAACAGAAAAGAAATGACCCAAAAAAAAAAAGAAACATAAAAGAAAGAGAAGACCCAAAAAAAAAAAAAGAGAAACAAAAAATATAGTTCTGTATACACTCTCTTCCCTTCTCTCTCGGTGCATTTTAGCATGATTTGCTAAAGTGCACCCACCGGAATGGGGAGAGCACGAGGACGACCATCCAAAGCTTCGAAACATGCAGAGGAGGACGGAAATGGCTCTATGGAAGTACGAAACTCAGGAATAGTTAAATTTGTTACACCAAAAGCTACAGTGAATGGGGGTAATATTACTGTTCCATTGCTCAAGGATGGAACACAGGATAATAGCACTACTGAAGGAAGGAAATCGGCGGAGGAAACATTAATCAACAAGGGAAAAGCGCATGCATCAACAGATCTAGCTAGCTGGCCAGCGCTACCAAGCCAAAGTGGAGGAAACAAAATACAGGAGGTGAAATGGACAACTCCGGTCAATTCTCAACAGGATCTAAGCTCAAAAGGAAGGGTCCAAGAGAAAATACAAGTCAAACAGCAGGAAGTAGTACAAATACAAAATGGAAGCACCAAAGAAACAGAAATCCAGAAGGTAGGAGCTCAAAGGAAACTACAACTAGGAACGGAATAAAAAACGGAACAAAAAACAGGAAGGAATTGGTCGATGCTATTTGAGGAGAACAAATTAGCCAAAAAAGGTATGGATCTGAGCTATATACCACCTACAATATCTGAGGATGGAGTAATTGTTGAACTGAGCCAGGAGGACATTGATAGTGAAGTAGACAAATGGAAATATGCGGTTATTATGTATGTTATTGGGGGAACACCAACGATTGGAGCTATGGAGAGATTTATAGCTGGGCAGGGGAGCTTCTCTGTTAAGCCTAAGGTATATTACCATAATGAGGGGTATTTTGTGGTGAATTTTGCAAGCTTAGAGGAAAGGAATTTGGTGATGTACTCGGGGCCTCACATGATTAACAACAGACCTATAGTAGTTAAACAATGGACTGCTAACTTTGATTTTGATGAAGAAGACTTAAAGACTATACCAATATGGGTGAAGCTGCCAAATCTGCCTTTGAGCTGTTGGAGTGCAAGTGCACTGAGCAAAATTGGGAGTGGTCTAGGCCAGCCCATATATGCTGATGCTTGTACTTCAAACATTGAGAGGATTTCATATGCAAGAATATTAGTGGAGGTAGATGTCACTAAGGAACTTCCAAAGAGTATTAAAGTGAAAGATCCTAAAGGGAGAGTAATGGTACAAGAAGTGTGGTATGATTGGAAGCCTAGCTATCGTGCAAAATGCATGAGAATAGGACATAATTGTCAACAGCAGCAGCAGAACAAAGTAATACCTGACATGAGGACTGGACAACAACAGCAAAGAGCACCAGTAAAGCAAAAGACAGAATGGAAACTAATTAACACAGGAGTAGTAGGAGGCCAAAGCCAAAACCAGCAGGAAGGGAAAGCAAAAGTGAATGAGCAGGAAGTGACAAAGTGGGAGCAAGTGATGAACAATGGCAATAAGTTAACAGCAAGTCAGCAGCAAAAGGGCAAAAAGCATCTGTACCTGAACAGCAAATACAGGTACTCAATGGCTTTAATAGTTTAAGAGAGACAAGCCTTCAACCTCCCTGACGTCCACAAAATTACTTCTCACTCAACAAACTAGTACAATTTTTCTTGTTCTTCGGCTTAGGCGTGGTTTCTTTAAAAAAAAAAAGGGCGAAGACTGTTATTTGGTCACGTTAGATGTTACAGCACGCCAATAAATATGTGAGACACATCTTTTGCATTTAATTAAATTTTTTACCATTTGATTATGGTTAAGTAATATGTATTTTTGTTTGATGTATTAATTCTTATGATTAATATTTAGTTAGGTGTAAACATTTATGTACAGATAAATAATTTATCATTGTTTGGTCATCATGTCTCATTTTCACTCGTTATAAATAGAGTTATTTCATCGATTATCTCGAATAGAGTATGAGACAATTGCATTCATGAAAATTTCATTAAGATGATTATATTTATCCACAAAACTCGTCAAATAAAAATTAATGCAATTTTGGTAAGCATATAAAGTAAGTAAAGACCAACAATTTCATAATCCTAAGAAATTAAAATTTAAAATGTCATTGGCTATTTATATTTACTATTAGCGTGGCTTGATATTTGGTTGACTATATTCTTTTACTTTTGTTACTTCAAGATGATAAACATATTCTAATTTTTTCAGTAAACTCAAAGTTGAAAGTACTGCATGGAGCTCTTTCATGCATTTTTATAGCTAACGGGCGATGATTATGACTACGTAATAATTTAATTTAAGTTGTACCAGTAGCTAGAATCAGTGCGAAGTTAATTCATCTATATACAGTTGACAGTATATAGATGCATTTATGGTTCGTGTCGTTAGATCCTCGGCAGTACACACAGTATGATGAGATCGGGTCGTACGCCTCGACATTTTTATAAAATACTCTTGTGAAAATCGTGCGTAATATTTGACAAGAATCCCGTGTATCTGTTACTTTTCCTGATTGAATTATGATGCCATATCTCGCAAGGTCCATTATATATTTACTCCGGTCATGGAGGTAACTGCTAATTATGAGCTTGAGTTTATCGTTGAGAGGAGGATTGTACTACCTATTTATACTTGTTTATTTCGTTTATTTCCTCTGCCTCACATCTGTTTACTTCCTAATGCATCTGATTTATTGGACCAAAGTGTCGATGTCGACCCCTCGTCACTACTTCTCTGGGGTTAGGCTAGATACTTAATGGGTACGCGTTGATTTACGTACTCATACTACACTTCTACACTTATTGTGCAGGTTTACATTTCTGGCGGTCTTTTGGGCGCAGAGGCGCAGCTATTGCGGGAGGTTTGTAGTGAGCTGCATTCTATATTACGATCCGCAGCATACAGAGTCTCCACCTGCGTTATTTAAATTCTCCCGTCTAAGGTGTATTCCAGACAGATGTTGTATTTTATTATATTTCCTAGTTGATACTCAAGCACTTGTGACACCGGATTTTGGGGGTTCCTACTGGATGTTTAGTACAGTAGTTCACGTAATTGTTATTATTTCACCCTGTAAATTTTATTTCATACTATTTAATAATGGAAAGTGTGATTTCAAAGTAATAAAAATGAGTAATTAAGATAATAAATCACCGTTGGCTTGCCTGGCGACGATGTTAGGCGCCATCATGACCTATATTGGATTTTGGATCGTAACAAAAACAGTCAACAACAATATCATTATTTGAAGAAAATTTACTTCCCGAATAAAAAAATTGAAGGAAAAGAAAAAGGAGAAAAACAATTTGGAAATTGGAAAAAGTGTAACCTTTGTTAAAAGTGTTGCTGAAGACTCATGCTGAGACTGAAGTCTCGAGGATATGTGATTTTCGATATTTAGGGAATGGACCAAAAAATAAAAGAAAAGAAATGACCCAAAAAAAAAAAAAAAGAAACATAAAAGAAAGAGAAGACCAAAAAAAAAAAGAGAAACAACAAAACGGGAACCAAAATAGAAAAGAAAGAAAATGAAAAAGCAGAAAAGAATGACAGGACAAAGGAAAAAAATAGACAAACAGAAAACCGGAACTTTACCAAAATAATGGGTTAGTGATTCGCTCCCTTGACCAAATAATCAATGGTGTACGCGTGCACCACAGCGTCAAAATGCACTATTAATATTACGCGGCGCCTTCCTGAGATTCTTTGGAAGGGCGACGTAAGGCTAGGCAACTGATGTCAGTGCAGTTGTTGTCTGCCAACTGAGGTCCCCTCCGTACGCTAGACGAGATTGTCAGTGCCGTACGGGAAAACCAATGTCAAGAGCAATTGAGAGAACAAAAATGAGAATTCAGAATGAAAGAAAGCTTGATTGCATTAATGAAAGCTATTACAGAAAAGCAAACACCAGTACAGAGAATTGCTTGCTTGCTAGAAAGTTTTGATTGCTTGATCCCCCCTAATAATACTTAAAAAAAATAATCCACAGCTACAAGACTAGACTTGACTAAGCTAGAGAAACATAATGGAAGTACATAAAATAAAACTACTCTATATTTACAATGAAAATGACTTAAATTTCTATAAGGCAGCAGCAGGTCCGTTGTCAGCACCATTGTCTTTGGCATCACGGTCTGCGCGCGCGGCGTTGTCTACGCGCACGGCGCTGTTGGCTTCTTCCTGCGGCTTGGCACTGGCGAGGGATATCGGTGGGGCGACAGAGGCACCTGCGCGCTTGTCACTTGGCGCGGCCAAGACCACGGGGCCGTCCGTGGCGCTAGGCATTGGGAGGCTTGCTAGGACGCCACGGGGCGCGCCCAAGGGGTCATGGGGCATGGCTGGAAAGCCGCCCATGACATTCTCCCCCACCTGAGTTGGCGACGTCCTCGGCGCCTTACTTGCAAAGTAATCTTCAATGAGGCTCTTGTAGGCTTTGAGGTTTGTTCCCCTCTCCCAAGTATTCTCTTCTGCATCACAGCCCTGCCATTTCACCAAAAACTCTTGGTGATCTTTCCTTGAGGCATGAATCACTCTGTCATCAAGGATAGCTTCCACACGCCTTTTTCCGGTTGAATTGGGACCTCGAATACCGGGTATTGTGAGCTGGCTCCTTGAAGGATCCTCCGTGTCTTCCCGAAAAGGTTTCAGGAGACTGACATGGAAGACAGGATGAATTTTCCACCAAGCTGGGGTATCCACCCGGTATGCAACTTTCCCAATGCGCCTTTCAATGGACAAGGGTCCAATGTATTTTTGCAATAGGCGAGGGTCATGGACCCCTGCAAATAAGTACCGCTTTGGGATTTTGACCATCACTTTGTCTCCTACTTGATATTCAACAAAGCGACGATTCTGATCAGCATGCCTCTTCATCCGCTTTTAGGCTTTAACAAGATAGCTCCGCACTATCTCTAAATTCCGCTTCCACTCTTTTGAGAAGCTGGCAGCTCGAGGAGATTTAGCCATGTTTGGTGCATTCACAGTGTGTGGGAGTAGCGGTTGCTGTCCGGTAACAATTTCAAAAGCGCTTTTGTTGGTACTAGAGCTCTTTTGTGAATTGAAACACAGTTGAGCAGCATCCAGAAGCTTCACCCAATTCTTCTGCGATCCGGTTACAAAGTGGCGGAGATATTCCTCCAACATACCATTGAACCGCTCCGTCTGGCCATCAGATTGCGGATGAAAACTTGAGCTGTGACTCAATTTTGACCCAATGCACTTGAAGAGTTGGGTCCAAAAGTTGCTAGTGAAGCGTGAGTCGCGGTCACTAACAATGTCTTTGGGCAGGCCCCAATATTTGACGACATGAGAGAAGAAGAGTCGAGCTGTATCTTCTGCTGATATATATTGTGGGGCTGCAATAAAGGTGGCATACTTGGAAAACCGGTCCACCACAACCAAGATGGTTGTGAGATCTCCGACCTTGGGCAATCCGGTGATGAAATCCAGGGAAACGCTTTCCCAAGGTCTCTTTGGGACAGCGAGTGGTTCCAAGAGTCCCGCTTGTGTCAAGCGGTCCGACTTGTCCTTCTGGCATACTAGACAAGTCTTCACATACTGAGCGACATCATCGGCCATTTGAGGCCAATAATAGGCACGACGAAGTAACGCCATGGTGCGTTCTTCACCAGGATGGCCGGCCCACAGAGTATCATGACATTCCGCTAGAAGAGTCCTCCGCAAATCTCCTCCTTTAGGAACATAAAGTCGGTTCCCTTTACTTCAGAAACCATCTTCCATGTAGAACTGGCGAGTCTTGCCCTGTCCTACCAAATCAACCAAATACTGAGCAGCAGGATCCTTGATGAGTAGATCCCGTATTTGGTCCTTGATGGATGTGGCTACTTCGCTCCCCCTTAGGGTGGCGAGTAGGCACACCGATGCTAGATCAGCTCTCCGACTGAGCGCATCAGCAACATGATTGGTCTTTCCACTGCGATACTCCAAGTTGAAGTGGAATTCAGCTAGGAGTTCCTGCCACCTGGCCTGTCGACCGTTCAGCTTCGGCTGGGTCATGAAATGGCTAACAGCTGTGTTGTCTGTCTTGACCACGAACGGGGTTCCCAGCAGATAGTGCCTCCAGAGGCGCAAGCAGTGGACGACAGCCAATAATTCTTTCTCATGGGCGGCATAGCGCCGCTCTGCATCCTTCAGCTTCCGACTCTCGTACGCTACAGGGTGCCCTTCTTGTAGCAGGACTCCGCCGAGTGCATAGTCAGAAGCATCTGTTTGTACCTCGAACGGCTTGGCCAAATCAGGAAGGGCCAAGACGGGACTACTAGACATAGCCGCTTTTAATGCGTTGAAGGCCTCTGCTCTCCTTGGTCCCCAATCCCAAGGTGTGACCTTTTTGAGGAGTTCTGTCAATGGCACTGCGATAAGTGAGTAGTTCTTCACAAACCGCCGGTAGAAGTTGCATAGGCCAAGGAACGCCCTCAAGGCGTGGACATCCTTAGGTGTCGGCCAATCTGTGATGGCCTGGATTTTCTGTTGGTCCATCTTGATGCGTCCTTCCTCGATGACATGTCCGAGGAAATCAATTTGCTTCTGAGCAAAGGAGCACTTGGATAACTTTGCAT